ATGTATTTTAAAAGTTCTTCATTATGAAACGAGGTTTTTAATTTTAAATAATTAATTTTGCATTTGAATTAAAAAGAAAATTTGATATTCAAAATTATTTTTTGAACTCAAATACAAGAAATTGCATTGCGGTTTTCATATAAAATAAAAGAATTTTTAATAATAATTTAAAAATAAATTTTGAACTTTTAATATGGTAATTTTGTTCCAAGCGTAACGAATGAATTGCAATTGAATTTGATTTCAGTTAAATTTTGGTTATTTGGTAATACATTTGAGTTATCCTTGTAGATACAATAGCATAGGAAAACCAAAATTTAAATCCCATTGAGAATCCAATTTCTATTGAAGATATTTCCAATAATTTCAGAAGAAATACAATGTATGTAAATTATATTTTGAAAATTGTATAAAATATCTCAATCTCTGATAATTCGAAGTACAAAAATTACAAAACCCATAGTAGTAAAATTTTCTCATTTGGGTGTCATTATTTTTTTTCTTCTATCTTTATTCTTTTTTAAAAGAAAATTTATTTGAATTTTTAAAACTTTATTGTAATCAAATATTTTTGCTCTTATTTAAATGACATTTTCTTTTAAAAGAACAACCTTCTTCTAGAGTACCGCGGTAACACAAACCCATTTTTATCTAAGAAAACAATTTTATACGAACACTAATCAATCACTTTCCTCCTTTTTATATTAATAAAAAGTCATCATTTCAATATAATTTCCTTTTTAAAAATGATAAAAAACTTATGAAAAAGTCATTAAATAAAATCCATTAAAAGGGACCATAAAATTAGCATACATGATGAGCTCAGAAAATTTCGTTATAATGCAGGGAGTAGGTATATAATATAACTCAGTTGTATTTGGTTAACAGGCAACAAAAAACAAGAAAAGAAATGAAAGAAAAAAGCTACCAAATCGCTTTAAAGTTATTACCATTCTTCATATTATGCATAGCGTTCTCAAAGAAAACCACAAAATTATAAAAGAAAAAAAAAATTAAATACATATTATTATAAAAGAAACATGACACAGGCAACATTCCACCAAATTAGAAAAAAAAAAACTTTTGATATTATCCTTCAAGGATTTAATATAATTTTTTTACATTAAAAATAAAATATAATGTAAAAATTCACGTGTGTTCATTAGGATTACCACCGCCGCAGTCAGTATTAATTTTAAGAAATCCTCCCTTAAAAATAATCAAATTTTGGTTGAAAGTATAAAAAATTCTTATACCTGCCTTAATTTTATTTTCTTTGTCGTTTTTCTAAGGATTTTATTAATTTAAATTTTAAAGGAAGTTTTACTTAGACGCACACTCAAAAAAATCTGAATAATTAAACTTAAAATTTGCTTGAAATTTGTTAATTTCAAGCAAATTTTAAGTTTTTGAATGATTTTTAATTTCTTGAACCAATTATCAACAAATTATACACTGTTAAAGCTCTCAGCGATTTCAGTTTTTGTATGTGGTAGTGTACACTTACCGAAGACAATTCTTTTGCCTGATTTTCGAATACAAAAACTATTAAAATGTAAGTTCATCCAACTGCTTTTAAAAACAAATTTGTTAATGGCTCCTAAATATTCTTAAAGAACTTTCTAACTGAAGATTATAAGTTTCTATATTGTGGCTCCATGCCTCATTAACATAGAATTTTATACTATTCTAAGGAAGTGAACTATTTATTTTTAATTAATTCTTTAACCATAAATAGTGTGGCAACCCACATAATATTCTGTAAATTACTAAATAAACGTTCGTCCTTAAAAATACAATGTTTTAGCCTTAAAAATTATTGTATATTAATAATTTTCCATTTATTTTTGGTTCATATATAGCTATTTAATTTTAAAGAAGAGAAAAAGTATCCTGCTATTAACTAAAATGTAAAAAAAAAACTCTTACAAAAACTTGTCAAAGCCAAACCAAAGAAAATGAAAATGATAAAGGAAAACTTGTATTTTTATATTTAAGAATCCTCATAAAATTGTTCATCATTATTTTTCTGTTTCCCATACTTAAGGTTTTTTATTCTTTGTATAACAAAGTATATTTTTTTATAAATAAATTCATGCAGTTTCTCTTAATAGCTAGTTGAATTTAAAAAAAAAAAAAAGAAAAAAAACAAATTTCATTTCGTTCGCCTACTGTAAATGTTTTTTTTTATTGAATTTCTCATAATTTTCGTAATTAAGCTCATTTTGAAAAAAAAAATTGTGTGTGGTTTGAAACATTGCTAAAAGAGTATACTTAAAATGATCTTGATTTTTGTGATGGTTCCGTGATGGATCCGCTTATGTGTTTTATATCAACAATAATATTATTAATTGTGACGGTATTTTAACAGATTTTCTCAGTAAATTTATAATTTGTAACAAAAATAATTTTAATAACAAAAATAATTTTAATTATTTTTATTTTCAAAATTTATAAAATAAAATAATGATTTTTTTTATAAAATTTTTGGATTTTAACCCATTACGCTCCAGCTTAATTACTATTGTGATAAGTATACTAATGAAAGATAAGGATAAATGAAATACAAAATATGGCTGTTGTAAATAATGTGATCTGAATATGTGCATAATTTAGTGACTTTTACAATATAAACATTCTACCATAAACTCACCAACAATTTATACAAATCATTTGAGTGGAAAATCAGTTGCAACGTAATTTTCGAAATCGAAGTGCAAAGCATTATTTGAAAATTAAATTTTATAGGAATATCTCTTTAAATAGTTATTTAAGAAATCCAATTCAGGTTCTCTCCTACTCTTAGCTTCTGGAATAACCTTCTTTCAACACTAACAGGGAAAGAATAAATTACTAAAAATGTCTAATATCTTTATTACTATCATTCTTTGTGGTACAAACGGAGTGGTATATTAGTTATGCCCTTGCAAACATATTCCTTTTCAAAAGAGATGAAATACTATTTATTTTCCATAAAAATAACATCAATACACTTGTGTTTTCCAATTTGTGTTTGCAATATTTTACATAATATTATTATACCGGAACTGAAGTGATTATAACAAATTTTGTTATCACGTTAATATAATTTTCATTGGAAAACTCATATATCGATATATAAATAGAAAAATTTTAAATAAATAATATCCTTGTTCAAGTCAAAATTCTTCTGTTATAGATTTGGTTGTCATATACAAGTGTATTAGGATAACAATTTCCATTTTCATCATATAAATTTCATATAAATTGACTTCATCTCAAATTTCCAAACAGTTTTCTTAAAAAAAAACGAAAAAAGAAACCGAATATTTTTATCTCAATGCGAAGAAGGTAATAATAAAAATGTCATATTATAAAAGATTTTAATTTCCTTCCATACGATATCACTATTTAAAAGGATAAAAGATAACATTGCTTCTCCTTACCTATGTATATGTGAATGTGTAGGTAGAACAAAATAAAAACAACCAAAATAAAAAACCAATAAAAATAAAAGGGGGGTGTTTAAACCCTACAGGGAAATTTTTCGCAAAGATGTGAAAGGAAACATTTTCTCTTTTCTTATACTTTCTGAGGTTTTCATAATTTTCTTTTTTTCTTTCTCTTTATTTTTTACTATTGCGCTTAAATAAATGAATACAAAAAATATTTTTAGAGTATAAAAACCTTTAATAAACAATAAATTTTCTCTACAAAATGTCTAACACACACTAAAGATTTTTTTCTACAAAATAGCAGATGTGCGCTATTTGAAAATCTAAATTTGGAAAATTTTTTGAATTCTAAAAGGTGCCACAATTTTCTTTTCTTTTTTAGAAAACCTCATTCTAATTTTTAAGCACTAATAACAATACTTAAAAACGCATTTAATTTAAAATATCTTTTTTGCCGGGTTTTCCTTGAAATTTTTTTTTTAAATTTCTCTTGAAAACTAAGAAGAAAGAAAAGAGAAATTCAAAATTTTTTAATTATTTCCAAGCATTTGAAGCCGACATCCTAACTTTTACATACTTAATATACTTAAAATATAAAAAGAAGATTAATTAAATTAAATTATTGCTAATTTGTTAAACGTGTAAAAAAGCCTATAATAGAAGGTAATTATTTAAAAATTTTCGCTTCGTTATAAGAAGAAAAGCAAAATTTAAATTTCAGAGTAATTTATTTCTTGGTAATATTTAAAAAAATTTAAAATAATTTTTAAAAGTTATTAGAAATTCACTGGAATTCAATAAATTTTTGAATATTAAATGTGTGTGGGTAAAAAGTTTTGATCGTATTTGAATAATTTCATCGTAAAAATTTTTTAATTCAAAATTATACTTTTTCAGAAAATTAAGAGAATCGACTCGATTTTCATACTTTCTACATATTATCAAAGCGGTATATGCGGATACGGTATACTGCGTACACATACATGCCTTCTAATAGAGGAATTGTTCTTTATTTAAATGGAATAATTTTTTACAAACTTAAAGCAAATTCCTTGAATATATCAGATTTTGAAAACACTTAAGTGGAAAAAAATCTCCTTTATTCAATTATTTGGAAGTATTCCTACAAGAGATTAAATTTGAAATTTAAATTTTATATTAATCCTTACTTCTTGAAAAAATGAAAATTTTCAAATAAGTTAGTCGAATTTTCATATTATGTAATTGTGCTGATATGAAAATAGCGCAATATTCCTTAAAAACATATTTATGAGAATAAATAAAATAGTCTAAATCTATTGGATATACGATAAGTACATATTCCTCGAATAAAACATCACAGAAAAAGCCTTTAACACTCACTAAATTAATTGTTAAGTTCGATTCTCCTAATATATTATGTAGACGCAACCTCAATCAATTCCTTACGATTATTCTCACATACAATTTCGTTGAGGCATGATATCGTTCATATTAATAAAAATTATTGTACAAATGAAAAATAAAATAAAAAATTATTTGCACTCAATAATTTGTTTTTCTATTTTGTTATTTTTTTTGTTTCAGATGAGTAATTAGCAAAGTCATTGCTTCATTATAAATACTAATTGTAAAGAATAAATAAAAGAACAAATACGAACAAGGATAAAACATTGAAAAGGAAACAAAGAATTTTTTTTAGTGTTTTCTTCCTATCTGCAAAGTTAATGAACACTATAACAACTAATAGGATTTAAATAAGGAAATAAAGGACGAAGAAACAAAAAAAAAAAACAAAGCACTATTAAAAGGAAATACAAAAATAATAACGTGAATATACAAATTTGTTTTTTCTTTTCCGAAAATTTTAGTAACACAAACGAATAATTTATCAAAAAGAACACAAACTCGCAAACAAAACTATTGGAAGACATCAAGAATTTTTGGAGTAAAATATAAGAAAAGAAAAAATATTAAAGTTGTGAATAATAACAATTTACCAAAATTGGTTCCAAACTATTACATAAAGCTTAAGAAAATATAAAGGATATTTTGTGAATTGTGCAACTTGCGAAGTTTTACGTCTTCAAAAAATTTGGGATTGGATAATTATAACGAATCAAAATGGTAAGTTAGATTTGAAAATTTTCAAATTTATAAAAACAAATATTCTTTGTTTTTCTAAATTTTTATCTAAAATTACTATTTTTAATGTTAAGAAGAGTTTTACGACAATAAAAATGTCACTCCCTGTAGCATTCACCTTTTAATAGCAAAATAATATTGCTATTACAGCAACTCTGCCGGAAAAATGCAAAATAATTGTTGAATATTTCCCGCTAATTAAAATAAAATTCATTTTGGGTTTGATTTGAAAAGAATTTTAAGTATAAAATAGAGAAAACGAGACATTCTAATAGAAAAAATTTATAATGCCCCTGAAAGTATGCAATTTTCTCTTTGCCAAATTATGAATGTAAAAATGAGGCTAATTTCATGGTCATTGCAATTATATAAATTAGACACGGTATTTATATAAATTATTCATTGATTCGGTAATTATCGCTTTAGCTCAAATTAATAGCCAGTTATTCATAAAAATTATTTTACAACAACTCATTTAATGTTTACTCGCGTATACTTTTAAACGTGCTTTGTTCCTGTCTTTCAGAATTTTGGAAGAATGAAACAACAAGAGCAAAATTTTCTTGTAAAATTTTTGTCAATTTTAATTAATTTCAATTTATTTTAATTATAAATTAAATTTTTAATGAATCTCATACTTGTATTGTACGACTTAAACGAAAACATAAAAAAAGTTTGAAAAATTGTCATTTATCTAACCAAAAGTTTTCATTTGAGAAATCCCCTTTAGAAAAGTCTGAAAAATTTTTCTACTTGAACTTTTTAACGATATTATAAATTTCTTATGCGGGCACCTACTTATTTTAGAAAACGTGCTAGTAATTTTTGAATCAGCGACCTTGTTCATGTAACCTTGTACATTTTTCTTTTAATTTATCACCACGCACTTTTAAAAACATTTTTGAATGTTTTAAAGTCTGGAATAGTCAAAAGAATAAACGAAAAAATTTTTTGTTATAACATCTTTGAAATTAAAAGACCCATTGGAAACCATAGAACTTCTCAATTTTTGTTTTCTTTTTCTTGTTTTATAATTTTGTATTTCTAAAAGTTTTCAACCTTTTTAGGTTCATGGAAGGTCAGACACACCAATTCTTTAATATTTGCCAAACATTACTTTCATTTCACTTGACCCAGTAATTAACTGCCACTGTAAACCTTTAGACTTATGTGTTGTATAAGGTAAAAAAAAAACCAAGAAATAAAAGGGAAAAAAGGAAAACTAAATAAAAAAATTGTTTTCCTTTTTGAAAAATTAGCAACCGAACATCCTTTTCCTTTTTTTTTTTTTGTTTTCATGTTTTCTTTTTCTTTTTGTTTCATAATTTCCCTTCTTTTAAATTTCATTTTGTGTTTTTTTAATATCTTTAGGGAAAATGAATAAGTTCGACCAGATTTCACTTTCCTTATCGCCTATAATTTCCCCAGAGAAAAATTTTCATTTATAATTTTCTTTTTTGGTAAAATAAAAGCGATTTTTCTTTATTTTTTTCCCTGTCCCCTATTCAAACACTAAGCATTTCTTCACTATTCATAAATTATCTGAAGAATTATATTTAAACAAGAAGAGTATTGAAGAAGGGTTTACCTAATGAACCCAGAAACGTTAATGTTGTCCTTCGACGTCAAATGTTTGTTTTTTAAATTTTCGCCGCCTTTGTACAATTTTTCATTGAAGACTTTATTTCCATGAACTTATAAACTAGAACTTAAAGTGATCGGAACTTCTATCGTGTTTGTTTTCTTTTAATTCTCCCGATAGGGTTTATAATATTATCTACTTTAAGCCTTAATTTAACACTTTTGCTCCTATCCAGGAAGAAGTAGCTGTTAAGATTCTTACATTGTTTGTGAAAAAGAACGTTTGCATAGTTGTATTTTTCAAGTTCGTTGAATATTTTTTGAAATACTTCCGAATAATTTAAGAATTTCATGAATTGCACTTAAAACGCGTCACCATTAAAACTTATACCATTAAATTTTAAAATTCGAAACCAACCAAATTTTAAAATTCAATTAAATTACAACATTGGTGCATAATACATAAATTTACTATAAGTTTGTTTTGTTTATAATAGGTACTAATTTTCTATGAATACGAAAGGCTTAATTACCTTTTGAAAAAATGGCACAGAAAGTATTCTAATTTAAAAATTCATTGTTATTGTTTGGATTACTAAAAAAGAAAATTTGTTCTTTTTTTTTCGTTGATTAAAGTACCTTTATTCTAGAAAATTTTACATTTCTTAATTTCGTTGAATTTTCTGATTAATTTGAATGATACCCAAAGGTAGTTTCAATACCTTAACAATTCATTGCGCTCACATCATAATATGACGCAAAATTGTATAACTTGAAAGGGCTAGTTAACTTCCGATTTAAGAGTTAAAATAAGAGTTTATTTTATGTAGCTTACACAACTTTGTGCCAAGTGAGCTCATTGAAATTTAATAACGAATCAAACTATTTCAAAGTTGAAACTGCCAAATAAAAAGTTCTAATGAAGAGAAATTTCCTTAATTCCTTAAATCATATTCCAAAATTTACGCGGCTAAACAAATTCAATATGAGCGTGTTGCTTCAAATAGTTTTACAGTAGGTTTTCAAGCATTATTTATAATCCGCCAGATTGATTAAAATAGCGAATTTTCTTTATTATTTTTCTCCATCTCGTTTTATGAAAATATAAAATTTCATGATTTCCTCTTGCCTATAACGTAAACTAAAAACAATCATTCAAAAGAATGAGATAAACGTGACTGAATTTTTAACATAAAAGCACGGCGATAGAATATTCATTATTCAAAAAAAAAATAAAGCAAAAGCAAGCGAAGAAAGTAGAAAACTTTTAGTCAAGGTCTAGAACAATGTCTTAATTTTCCACCAAAAACAAAAAGTATTTTTAACCTTTAATAATAAAGCGAAAAATTCTATAAAGGAAAATGAAAACCCAAAATTTAAGGTAAAAGTATCGAAAATAGTTAATACAGTGCTTTTATTGAATAAACGTTCACATTTTGAATTTAAAATTCAATTTCATAAGGATTTTAAATCCTTTTACGCTTTCGTGGAACGACGAAGTTTTAACAACTCTTGATTACAATTTTTGTGTTACAATGAACAATATTATTCAAGCTTTTATAAACCATATAATTAAAATGTACGTGTTGTTATAATTTTTGATATTATGTTGGCATAATTTTTAGACTGGTACTGTTACGATAATTTAGAAATATTGAAATGCACAACTTAAAATATTGAAAATAATTCTTAAAAAATGCTTGAATAATTCAATCACACTCAAACTCAGTTGAGTAGATTGATAATAAACCAATAATATTTTTCTATATTCAGTGTGTTTGACAATTATTGACAGCACACTGTATATAGAAATCTGTGGAGAAGAAATGCGAATAAAATTTAATAAAAACTATTTATAAATTGCGCTATACTGAAAAATCAAACTATTCTTAAATTGCAAAACATTCAATTTGAAAAATTTCAGAGAAGCAAAATATTTCACACTTTGTTGTGTGAATTTCAAGAGAGCGACTAGCATAAGTTCAAAAACATTTTTTAATTCAAAAAGTTTTGAGAACAAAAGGAATAATTTCGAGTTTTTTTCCACCATTTGATTAAATTTTTTCTTTACTCAATTACTTTGCATTTAGTTCTTATCTTGATCGTTAGCCAAAATGGAACTTTAAAAAATTTTTTGAAGAAAAAATTCAACTTTAAATAAAAAAGTATTTTAATTTTTCTATTTTACTCTGGAACTCCTGTACCATAACGAAAACCTTATTCAATATATAAAGTTTTTAAAGGGTTAGGTTAGGGTTAGTTGTTGTTTTATTTATGCGCCGTATATGGTGCCCCAGAACGTTAAAGTAGAAGATAATGAAGGCCAAAAATAAAAATCAACCGCAATTCTCTTGAATCCGAAAAACTTTAAGGAGATAAGTGTTTATGTGTAAAACGTCATTAAGTTCAAAAGAGAGAGAAAGAAGTTCAAGAAATAAACCAAAAAGAAGAGACCAGAATAACGGAAACTTTGTGAGATCTGTAGAGATTACGATTACCGTTAATTTATTACGCGGTCCCGATGTACCCCTGACGCAACAATTTCCCACATAACTATTTTCCATAAACATATTGATAACCTTACTTAACACCTCAATCTATCCCGAATACTACAAAATTAGAAACAAACATGAAAAATATGGTTTTGCAAATAATCAAAAATATATTAATTTAAGGTTTCCTTCTATAACCAATGTAATAAAAATTATTAAATCATAATTTGTGACGAGATGAAGGCCTATATTGCACATGACGAGCATCTATAGTAAGCACATTGGCCAGTTTATCAAAAAAAATTCCGGAATCCTGTAAAACCTAACAAAAAAAAACGAAACTGAAAATTCCCTATAGAAATCACACTAAAATCAGAGGCATGTGGGATTTGAAAATTGATTTCTTCATTCCAATTCCATTTTTTTTGGCAGAGCATTAAATTAAATGGACTTTGGCCGCTGTTACTATAAATTTTATTTTTACAAGTAAATCAAAAATTTTTGGCAAACTTCCAACTCATCTGTTTTATTTGAGAAAAATTTAAAAATCAATAAAAACATGCACAATACATTCATATAAATATTTTGTCAGTGTTGTTTTTCAATATGTCGGGTGTTTTATATAAGAAAATGATGCATTTTCGAAATTGTTATCAATAAAAAAAAGAAGTTATGTAAAATTATTTGTAATAAAATCTTCATCTACAACTAAAAAATATTTATAGCTTTTTCTGAATAAATTAAATTAAATATTTTAGTAAAAGCAGTTATAAACAGTAGGGTAACTTAATAATAATCGGAACAATTTCTTTTGCTTTGGGGTGTTGAAGCCAATAAAGGAATTCCGAGATAGAAAGATCATATTTGTAAGTTAAAATAAAATTAACATCTTCGGACAGCCTATAAAGAGCAAAATAATACAACAAGGCAGACATATCAAAAATTATAAAGAAGAGTAGAAGAAGCATCACTTCAAATGTCCTTTAAATAAACCGAAAATAAATTAAACTGTTCAATGGTTCTTAACTTGTTCAAGATATTTGGATAACCAGAAGTACTGTGTTCATATTAAAGTGAAAATGTTTTAAAATCAAAAACTAGTAATTTTCGGTATAAAAAATAAAAATTTGCCCGCACAATAAATTTTAAAATTTCCCATCAATGTACGCGATGTCATTTTAATCTGTACTTGAATTGATTTTACAAAAATCACGTCAAATAAATTAATAATTAATTTTTCACATTTACAATTTTTCACAAAAATTTTATGATTTATATAAGAATAAAATATGAGAGAATTAATTAATCAAACCATTGGAAAGCCAATAACAAAGACCTACAAATAAAAAAAGTTCAAAAATATTATTGCACAAAAATGATTTAAATCTGAGTAATTAAGCAGGAAAACAATTAATTTTTATATTTTATAAATTTAATTACTTTCACATTAAATTTTCAATAAAAATAAAGATTTTTCACTAAAAACAATGTTTAAACGCAAAAATATTGTAATTAATACTATAAAATGATTAATTGGATTGAAAATCCCTTCATTCACAATAATATCAATAAAATATTTGGAAAAATAAAATATTTTATAAATGCATAGTATACATATAGTTGTTGTGCAGTTATTCCTCTACATCTAAAGCCGAAAAGAAAAAATAATTATTAAAAGGGTTGAATTCGTGTTTGTAATTCTAACAGAGATTTGCAATGGCAACACGATTTTGTAGTTTGCTGCAAAAAGCATTCCGTTTTTGTTAGGAAAACTGCAAGAGATCTTCTGCCAAATGGGCCAGCAAAAACTTTTTTTTGCTTTTTATAGCCATAACCTTAATTAGAAGAGAAAATAAATCAAACTTTGTGCCACCAGAGCTTTTTATAAAAACGCTGCTTTAGTAGATCTATTGCAGTGCAGTTTTAACTAATAAAATCTCTTGCAGTGCAAGAACTGCAAAAGGGAATTTAAGTAATATCTTAATTGAGAGAAAAACCTATTTTATAGCCCACATTTTTTTGTTTATATGAGATATATCTGTATTTGAGAGAAAGTGTTTGAAATTTCAGAGGTTTGCAACTTGATTTTCAAAATTGAAAAAGTAATTATTTCAAATGTTTTTTTTTCATAGCGCATCGCGAACTAAATTTTAATATTTTAAAACACTGAGGTCAAATCGGATTTGAAGCGGAGATATGCATCAGAATTTAAAAGCCACCTCCAGTTAATTTTAATTTTATAAATTCACTTGTTTTCACTTGTAATACATTTCTGTATATTATTAATTTTCTTAAAAATTACAAAAGTAATATGAGCATATTACAAATTTTATCATTTCCATGTTTTTGCATTATAATTATTTTATATAAAACTCAAAAAAAAAAAAATTAATTCTTTAAATGAAAACCACATTATGTTTTTGCTTTAAGGATTTTATAAACAATACGAGAATAGCATAATTTATTAGGTACCTTGTGCATGCTTATTGTAATTTTAACACTAAATAAAATTTTAACATTCTGAATATGCTACAATACAAATTGCATTTAATATAAATCACTTTTTCTCATTATGGCTTCTTTATGTTTATTTGCAGTACGGATTTGTTAATTACGCTTTGGAATTACTGGTGCTAAAACATTTTGGTACAGAAATATGGGAGAAAATAAAGTAAGTAAGAATAATTTTATTGCACATACCCACATACATATTTTACATCTATGAGTGTATGTATAATAATTGTTATAAATAGTATATTATGTATATATATATACGCTTGTCTGCACGAATTCATCATGCAATAAAACTAGATTATAAAATTCTCCCACATTTTACAATATGTTGAATTCTTAAAATTTAAGTTTTAAAATGAACCCAAAAATTAGTAAATTTTATATATATACAAATATAGAATCGTTATAACACTTGAGAAAATTAAACGATGAAATTTATAAAACCATATGATTAATTGTAAAGGTTTTAGTTTGTAAATTATGTTCTAAAGAGAGAAAGAGCAAATTTTAAATTACGCCATCTATTGGAATATTTTACAGTAATTTAGTTTATTTGCCCTTTTTTAAAGAACATTCGTAAAAAATTAAAGAAAGTTTTGTAGCTTCTTTAAGAAAATAATGAAAATGTTATAGAAATTAAAATTTAATATTGAATACTTTTTAAAATTTGAGGATTGACATTGATTTCTCATCTAAATCTTTGATTTTAGCTTCCTCGAACAAATTTAGCAGTTTTTAAATCTAAGTTTTGCATTCAGTTGTAGTATGTCGTCTATATTTGCGATTATCTATTCACTTTGGCAGTATTTGTACTATAATGAAGCAAAGAAGGCAAACATGCAGAATGTTGTAACTGTTTCCTCTCTTAAGTAGTTCTCTTTTTTTAAAAAAATATCGTTTATTTACGTAAATGTGAAGGAAACTTATTTGCCGTGAGATCCAAGAACATCTCTTTGCAGCTTGTTTACGTACTACATAAGTCATTTTAGAATTAAAATTGAAATGAGCCCTCATTCTCAACTTAATGTAATTTCAAACAAAAAATATGTTAAAATTCAATAATAATAAAAATTTTAAAATCATGTCAGCAATCGTACAGAGATTATTTCATCGACTTGCTGACTCTGAAACAAAAGAACAACATTTACTTTTTTCGAAAATGAAATTTCAGTAAAATCACAACAATTTTTTTTTTGATACACGTAGTAAAAAGATGCTAAATTTTAGTAAGATAACAAAATATCTTTGTGTATCTAAAGTATTACGTTCCTTGAGGCTATACGTGCACGTACAGTACCAATAATTCCAGTATTTTTGCTATCAAAATAATGCAAAAGTAACAAAAAATTTGGTGACAAATTTTAATATCTGCATTTTTATTATCCTTTTCAGAATATTTTCAATTCTTTATTTACAAAATGAACGTAATACAAAATTTTTTCATTTCCAAAATAACAAGGAAAAAAAGACAAAACGCAGGAGCACCATATTTTTACAACATTTCAGAAATGAAAAATGGGAATCAAAAATATTTCCCAAGACATTTCCAAAAAATATAACAATAATTTTTTTCTCCAGCATTCTTACATCATAAAAGAAAATATTGAAAACATGTTCTCATTTTTTTTATTTGGACATTTAAAAATTTAGTACTTATCATATGAGTTAGATTGTGTGGATTTGTCTACCGTTATTGCAATTGTCGTATGAATACAGTATCCTCAAATATTATATGGGGACTTTATAAAAATTTGTTTCAATTGACTTGGCTGCAGTTTATATTTAAGGCAAAGGTGATGCAATCAAATTAATAAAAGTTACAACAAGGAATCTTATGAAAAATAATCTAAGGATATTATACTCTAAAATTTTTCTTCTTGGTAATTAACCTGTTTACCAATTCATTTCTCGAAAATTCAGGCAAATCGTCCTGCAACTTCCTTTTATTATATTTAGTTAAATGACAAGGATGAATGCTAAAAAGATTTTAACGTAGGTGTGAAATGGGTTTCGTTTTTTAAATATTTTTCTTATTAATCTTACCCGTATTATCACGATGAAGCAAAATTTGTTTTTAGAAAATATTTTCTACCAATTCAGTCGTTAGTATAATCAGGCAAATTATAAAGTGGCAGAAAATAAGAACACAATGTCAAAATGCATTTGTGGTTGACTTTGTTATACACTTCGATTTTAAATAAAATACCCTTGCTTCACTTTAATTTTTTTAAAATTGGAGACATCAGTTTCCTTTAATCACAACATCTACACTTATTACTTCGTCTACAAAAAAAAATATTTCAAATCTTCTTTATTTCTTAATGTCAAAGTCAAAATCTTATATGCAATTTTGAGATCAGACATCAAATTAAAATATACAAAAAGAAAATTTCATGGTAAAAATTATATTTTATTGTACCAAAAGGTTATACCATGACTTTCAAGTACGTTATATACAACCCCACATACATAGGGAATAAAAACAATAAAATAAATTCCATACACAAGACTGAATTAGAAGCACAATATCAAATTCGCATGCATCTCAGAAGTTAAGAATTTTCTAATACAAAATTCTATCAATTACACTATTTGAATTTTATATTTAAAATTTTTTAAATTAAATTTTTCCATGAATGTTATTTTTCGATTAAAAATTGAATTTAGTTAAAATTTAAGAAAAATTTTCAATATTAGAAAGAAGTCAAGTAGATCTACATATAAAATTATATAAAAAATCTTTTTCCAATTCAAAAGTAATTTTAAATTGAATATTAAAGAAAATAAAAAAAAAATATATTTTCATTTAAGTCATCTGACTTTTAAATTATAAATTTAAAAATATAAAAATAAAATTGAAAATATTGTAATTGGAGTAATTTGCAATCACATACTGCACGTATTGAAAACTTTTTGTTTAATCCATATAAATCGATCGCATGTTATTTAACTTCTCCCAAATTTGAATGTATTAATGCTTAAATTTAGAATAACATTAAACCGACAGCAGGTGGAAAGGCCTGTTCACATTCGAGACGGCAAGAAAGATGTAGTCAAAATACGACCATAGCAAATTGAATGGGTTCCTAGCGATGAAGGACCATGTAGTCAGGCGGGGATTGCCCTTCAACACAATATGCCGCAGCTGCCGGGAAATTGGCAAGAATGAGAAAATTTGTCACTATCTCTGCGAGTGTCCAGCACTAGGCAGGGCCAGACTTATTCCGTGGGGCTGAGTAAGTTTGACGGTAGCAAAAATTTTACCAAATTAACCTTGGAATGTGCAATAAACAGAGTTTCTTCTTTTTGCAAGTTTTCAGAAATCTCTAAACTCTGCAGAGTAGAAATTTTTATAACTTTAATATTAATACCAATCTTATTCAACTTCAATTAATACCAACATTATTCAACGGAGCCTAATTTTTCCAATGTCCTCCAAATTAGGTTTATTATAAAATTTCAATTTCAGAAATTTCATTCACGTACCTTCACAAAACCTCATTTTAATTTTTTCAAAAATGCAAAATTTATCTCATTCAAGAACAACTACAAAATTGAACTGAACATTTTAACAAATAATAGATTTCAATCCAATTGGTTTTTATTATTTTACATTTTATGAATATGATCTGTATATTGTACAACATCATTATTACGAGTATATATTTGAATAAATCTATAAAGTAGCAAATATCAGTATTAATTCACAATATTAGAATATTAGAACATTACGCCATACTCTGAATAATCTACGAGAATAAAATAATATTTTTAATATTGTGGGTGAATAAAAAAGCATTCAGAAAATGTTATTTTAAATTTTATGAATGCAAATTGTCCAATATACATATAGATTTTTTCAATAAATTCAAAATAATTTTCTATATTGTTCCCATATCCCTATATTTTCTTTTATCTTATACTTAATGTATGTATGATAATTTGTTGGTATAGAAAACTAAAAGCCTTATGATTTAATTTTAAACAAATTTATTGAAATAAAATTGAGTTTGCAAGCTTGTTTTAAAGGCCCTTGACTATTCTAAAAACATGGATGGAAAATATATGGAAATTTAATTTATTTCTATTACATTGGCTCGCATAATTTTTTGAATTTCTAAATTTTTATTTTGGATATTGTTCATTTAATAAAAAACGTTTCCAACAATGTAGGCGTACACTACACACCTAACTAGTTACTGTGAAGCATACCCAGTAGAGAAGCTTCACAGTAATACAATTCTTTTTCCATTGCCCATTGATTTATGAGTTCAAGCAAAGAATCGTTGTTTGATTTGAGTAGAACAAAAATTTGCTAACAAGACTAGAACTGTTTCCAATATAATTTTTATTAACTGCCACTCTAATAAAAGAAACTGTTATGAAAATAAAGAGCTTCAATTACATTTAATGTACCATTATGGGAAAATCTTAAAACATTTTGATTGGAAGTTGAAATAAAATATTGAATGATGGCTTTTTTTTTAAAAAACCTTATAAATTTCAGTTTTTGTTCTTTTTGCGTTTATTAAGAGCAAAATTGGAAAATTACTTCAATTACATTGATTTTTTATATTAGAAATTTTTCAATTACACGAAAAATTTTTGAATAAAATTGGAAAAAAAATTCATCTATACTCTTATTACAATTTCTTTGTATAATGGTTTCTTGTATTTTGCAAATAAATTGGTTTTCCTTTTCATTGATAAATTGCTTTTTTTTTAATAGTAAAGCAATTTTAGCAAAAAATTTGATACCGTAGTGTTTATAAAAATATTTAAATATAAAAAAAATTAAAGTACACAAACTTATAGATCAATTAATGGAAAATTGCTGCAAATGCCAATTATGTGCCATAAATAAGACTCTTATACTTGATTGGGCAATACGCCCAGCGTAAAATTTTATAAAATAATAAATTCCTCCCTTTATTAAAAATTATGAGCTCTTTAAAGAGTAGAGCAAAGAATTAGCCCGAAATCTTATCAATTTAAACGAAAGATCTTTAAAATAATATTTTTAAAGAGTCTATTGCCTAAAGATAATGAAAATTTACTTTAAACTTTTTACCTAGAAAAATGTAATATGTAAGATCCGCTTTTCCTGCAAAGTTTTCCTGTTAACTTCGTTAATAACTAGAATTCAAATAGTTCAATTAGTTC